CTCTGTGGGAGCTGAGGATGAGAGTGACATCAAAATCATTTTCAATTATCTAGGAGCTATTGGTTTGTAATAGAAACATTAGCTTGGACTTGGTTACCCAATTACTTGGTTGACTGCAAGATATTGATCTTTTGTTGATAGAAAGTAATTTTAGAACATAAAATTCAAAAGGATACTGTGATATTTTAATTAATGCTATATCCAACAATTGACTCATAAATTAAAGTATGAGTCCTTTGGTTGCAACAGCTAAATTTTAAATTTTACTGAAATTGTTTATGTCTTTTTTGAGTAATATTGATGCATACTCGTTTCGGTGTAATTAATTTCAGCTATATACCAGCTGACAGCTAATTTCAACTACATTCAGCTATATTCCAGTGACTTTTAATGTGATTAATTTCAGCTATGCTTTGTGCCAGTACTTTCACTGCATTGTTTAAAAATGCATAAGTATACGTAAAAAATCTGATGTGTGCACTACATAACTTCCTTATACGGAATATTAAATTATACGCAATTTTCCTGCATTTCTTTTAAACATATTGAATTAACAGTTAACGAATTTTTAATTAAATCTACTTCGTCAATTTAATTAAAAATAAATGCACTCTTTAAAGTTCACTATGTTTATTTACCATAGCGACATTTCGGCGCTAGGTTCACTTAGCAGTATTACATCTCATTCGTTTCATAGCTCAGAGTGCACAAAAATTACATTATCTGAAGAATTACCACAAGTTCTATTCAAATACCATAATAAATCTAAAACGATGTATAAAAGAAATTAAATAAATGGAAAAAAAAACTGTTTTTCACACACGATTCAGCGCCGCTTACCTAATGCGCTTGCACTATTAATTAATTCAATCCTCACTTCGCAGCAAGGCAAAAATACATAAAAATTCGAAACATTTTCATTAAAAATTGAAAGATATAGAAAAATATAAAACACCAAGTATAGCTAAAACAATTTTTAAAAAAATTTTACAATTAAAATTACAGTTTCTTTGCAAAAGCAAGTTAATAACTTAAATGATAATTTCAGAATGAATTAAGCATGATTTAATTAGCAATAGGAAAATAAGACGTTACTTTGTTGTGCGAAGCTTAGTTTCTCTAGATTGGAACAAATCACATTCCGAATTTTAAATAAAAACAAACATGCGTCATGGTACTCAAAAATAGCTTAGCGCACTAAAGTTTAAATATTGGAATCCACAATTATTGTATGCGGTTAACTAAAGGCATAGAAAATCTAACTGAACAACATATCATATTTTTGAGCAAAGAATGCACAATTACAAAATATAAAATAAGACTGACTCCTGAGCCGAGTAAGAGGGGTATGTATATTATATACTTTTAGGGGCCGATTGCAACAAAATGGGAGTGCACACTGCATATTATGCAGTCCATATACAAAATTCAACGTTGAAGCTACTCGTTTTATTATGCGAGACGTACATACGAGGCTACGAAAAATCTCTCCTGTATTCTTTCAAATTGTTTTATAATTTTTTCGGTGAAAAGAGTCCTTTCTCTCCTTAGTACAGATGTACGCAAAAACATGTTAATTGCATCCGAAAGCGGTCAAAATGGATATTTCGTTGAAATAGATACCGAAATTTTCGCGATACAATACTTCCTTTTATTCGTACAAGGAAGTAAATAGAGTATTTTATAAACTACTCTTTACTGCTTAAATGCTCGCATCTTATGATATATGTTCAATTACTTTACTTTGCAGAACAATTGACTTGTCGCAATATTTAAAACGCATAAAAAATAGAGATTAGCAATACTAGTCCATGGCAGCGCATATTGAATTTCTAATATGACAAAAATTTATAATATAAACTAGAGATAATTAACAAATCAGATTTACTTCTTTTATATAATCTATAAAATCTTTTTCTGACTTCTGTTTACTTCTACGAGTGGAAAAGATGAACGATAACAAAGATTTATAGTTTGTTTATTTAAATCATTCAAGTCACCTCATGAATGTGAGAATAGAATAAGTATTATAAACTGATGACATTAGATTGTCTCTGTAGCTTAGAACCACTCAACCTATAATCGCAATTGAACTGAAAAAAAAAAAAAAAAAAAAGAATTAACAGTAGAAATTGTTACTAGCTTTTGGCCTTTGATCAGACTCTATAATGAATGGTTGTACATAAAATGTGTTCACAGGCTTTAAGATTGAATTTTTTTCAGTTAGCTGATCGGAATTGCGAAGTAATAAATTATGAATTATTATTATGAGTATTTCTCAACTTTTACCCTTAAAATGTTGTTTCCAGAAAATTTAAATCAAGATATTTGTAAGAATTTGTGCTTTCTATAATTGTGATAATTTATGCTATACATTAGGGCCTTAAGGGGTTTAAAGTTGGAAATCAATAAACATTTGGTTGTTGATTGGTTTACAAGAGTATGAATTCGACCTAAAGAAAATTATGGGGCAGATGAGATTGCATGCCGAAGTACTGAGGACGTTTTTTGTTACCTATGAGATCGTGTTTCTAGGTAAAACTATCGGTTAGATATTAGTAATCAAGACATAGAACAGCTACTGGAGGATTACAAAAATTAGCTTAATGAAACAAACTGCAGCAGTATCAGAAGCAGCAATGGATGGTGATTCTGAAAGAAATGCCTTATGAAGAAAATGAAGAATGAAAAAGTACCTTAACACTCTAACCCTCGAAATTTCTGCATAATGGGGCAAGACACAAATTTTCATGTCATGATGTCACTGATAAAGTAGTAGTAGAGTAATAATTTTCAATGATAAAGCTAAGTCTCACTTAAACATTTTAAAACGGAGGGAACAACAAATGAAGATAAATTTTTAGTGAAAAGAACGGACAGCTTAACGAATCTGAAATAGAATCAAATGTCACATAGAGGCAATAAAAAGATAAAAGAAAATGCTCTTGATATTTTTATGGAACAAAATTTTGCGTGCAAACAATTAACATCCCTTAAAATTAATAAGACAACAACCTTGAGTTTTTGGGGTAAATTAAGGTCAAGATCTCAATCGATTTTGAGGGCAGACAGGTATAGGTCCCTCTTCGTCAGACTTTAATTTACCCTAAACTGAAGGTTGTTAGGTTACTAATTTTATATTTAACTTGACATGTTTCTCTTCTGCTTGCAATAACATCTCTCTTAACATTTTTCACTCCTCTATCCACTATTCTTCGAACAGTTATACTAAAATTAAATAAAGTATTCTTGTATTTTATTTATATACTATGTTTATCATTTTTGTTTTATATTTAAGAATCCCCATAGGTTTTGGCTTATGAGCTTCTGTACGAACTATTTTTACAAAATTTAACTAAACAATCAACAGTGATCAATGGGCTAAGTAATAATTTTACATTAATGAGGAAAATCGTTCGGTTTACGAACATTTCGATTGACGAATAGCCTTCAGGGACAAATTAAATCCATGAACCGGTGTTTAACTGTACACACTGCCAAGATGATCGTATTATTTGTTTCATTTCGAATAGATGAACGAACTGTGATTGCTATATTTTTAAACAACTTTTTTTTTCACTTAAAATATATTTATTCATTAGTATACGGTCGATAATTAGAGCTTGCGTGATGATAACACTTGAAGGAAATCGCGTGCAACTTGCTATAGTTATATTTGCTACAGCTGGTAGCAGACCATCTATTCATTTAAAACAAGTCAGGCAAAGCTTCAGCACGCTTCTCATCAAGTTACCGTCACGGATGAATTACTTGTGACGCGTGATAACGTTGGAGCATCCCTAATCTGACCCTACGCTCGTGGGATCGCGGAGCGGTAAATAGTCCCCATGATTAGATCATTTCCGACACTTAGATGACACAGAATTTTTTGGCTCACATAAGATTGTGGGAAAATACTACGTGACAGAATTGATTTCATTTCCTTCTCGCTATATAATGTTGGGGTTTCCACAGCACATATCAATTCATTTTCTTCATTCAAGGTGCAAAATTAAATTGTTTATTTTTCCTACAGACTAAGTCTGATATATATTGATGTTACGCTCCGAAAGTGTAGGTTGAAAATAATGTACATTATAAAGTTTACTCAAGAAAATAAGTTATTACGAGGATTTTCTAAGCCATTTAAAATTTCAAATTTCAATTCGATTGTATAAACAACACAAATAATACAAACTGTAATAAACTGTAATATAACATTTATATTACTAAAGCTATTGAAATAGTTATTTAATATTTTAATCAGTAATAAGTTATTTAATCAGTTATCATAATTTTTTCTGTGTACTAATAACAAAATTTTTCGTATTAACAATAAAATTTAAAAAAATGAAGTGAATTAAAATTTAAAAAATTCTTTCGTTCCTCCATGTCTTAGCATAAATTTGGAAATTAGTTACAAATTAGCGTAAAGTTAAGGAATTTTCCCTTGAAGTTCTCGATTCAGAGCACCGCTTAGAAGTTAACTTTTGATTAATCATTTACTTATTTTATTGATTTTTAAAAATAATTTAACATAAAAATTAACTATCACATTTTTTCACACTCATTTAATGATTACTAACTATCTAAAACACATTTTGTTTGCTTATGCTAATAATCAGGTCCAGTTATGCTGATATTTGTCCAAATTAATAATTCAGCTTTTAAGAGTCCTCGAAATAGTTTGACCACAGAAAGCTTTTTGCCAAATATTTAAAAATATCTGCATTAGAATTATTTTAAATTTCTCATCAAATATTTAGTAGAATTTCAATTTCTTTTCATAGCGATTATTATATGAAAATTACTATAATGTTTTGTATCAAAAACAGCAAGTTTAATGCAGCAAGAATTTTTTTCAAAACACTACTTTTCATTAAAAATCACTATAATTTTTCCATCGGTTATTTAAAAGCAATCTAAATTTCTCAATCGCAGTTTCAAAAATCGCAGTTTTCTATGCATGAACGGTATAGAAAGAAGACAAGAACACTAACCTGTAGAAATCTGAGGAGAGCCAGTTTGAGCAGATACTGGAGGTTTCTCCCTGGAAGCGGGAGGCAAAGAAGCTTCTGAGGCTGCAAATGGAAAAGCAAATCACAAACTATTAAAAAACATGGCATCGACAACTTTAGATAAGAAATGTTTTTAAATCATATTTATGTTCCGGAATCTCGATAGTTAAAATTACATTTAAAGTTTTAAATTAAAACAGTAACATTTGGAGAACTAATTAAATTACGTAATCCTAAAATTCGCAACGGCAAATAAGTAAATGCATCAGTAATGAACTTTCTGTGAGAAAGTATCTCACAGTCCTGGTATTTTTCCAGTTTTTTTAGTTTTCATGGCAATGATACTTTAATAGCCAGTAATATTTCTTATTTTTGTTTTTTATTCCCTTATAATACATATGAATATTTACTCGCGAAAGAAAATGCTACCTCGAAACAGTGACCTCAATAATCATTTTAGGAATCATTTAAGGCTTTTGGGTTTAAAAATTAAGATGTATCAATAAATTAATGTAGTATTTAAATTCTATTCAACGAATTTTTTAAACAATCATTTCTACTTTATATATGAAATTTTATACTTGTAATATGAAATCGAGGAAGAAAAAGATAAATAAATGAATTTGTAATAATTTTTCATTCTAAATTATCAGTTTACATAACTTAGGTATTGGCGGGGCTTTGCAAACTGTAGAGTTTCCATCTCGAGTGGAAGCCCGTTCAACATTCGGGTGCGTTTTGAGGTTCTCCCATTCCTCTTCCCGACCATCGACTTCTCGAAAAGATTTCGACGCCTCTTATATTTTCACTGCCCCCTTGCCGGACAGACACTTTATCTTATAAACATCCACGCCTTCTCTAGGATTCGAACACGAGCCCTTCATTACGACATTCAGCGTCGCTAGCCACTATCTCATCTGGGCGGCTTTGAGTTTAACACCTTTCTGTACAAGACCTCTTGTCCCCCCCCCCAAAAAAAAGATATAGCATGTGATCTATATCTTTTAGTTGGTTAGTTATTTCTTAGAAGGCGTTGCTAAAAGGCTGTTTTTAAAAATGAAAATAAATGTATACAATTAATAATACATTTATGAAAATAATTCCATAATTTAATTTAATAATCCATTGCATTTTTAATTCCATTAAATTTAAAGTCCTTTCAGTTTTACAAAACAAAAGCAGTAATAGCTCTTAAAAGGGCTGTTTTCATATAAGTCGGTCAACCATCTGCATTATGAATTTATACCAGTATAGCCAAAACAAAGTCAATAAGCATACAGAAATCAAAATGGTTCCATTAATTAATTTAATAACGCATCAAAATTTTAATTTCATAAAGTTTAAATTTCAGTGGCTTCATAATTCAATAATAATAGTTTCATAAACTAAAAGAAAAATTCAACAGTTTTCATATTTGAACGGGCAATACAATGGCGGGGAGAAAAACAACAACTAAATTTAGGGGCGCCATCTAAAATACAATTGTGGTAAAAAATTTAGCAACAAACGGCTAAAAGAAAAGATAAGAATGTAAAAAGAGGAATTAAATCATACAATTTACTTATGAGGTAGAGGTTGCATCGCCAAATGCAATTAGGCAACCAAAATTAGCATAAAACGCAATACCGCAGTCACGCCACAAAAGAAGCATTCAAACCTATGCCTCAGTTCGCAAGCAGCGGTAGGTACGTGTAATCCGAGATAACCAAGGCGGAGAGCATAAGCCGAAGAAACCAAAGGCGTTGGAGGGCTGTCGGGGTGTTGCAATCTGGTGCAAAACAATCCGCTGTTGCGAGAGGGTTGAATGTGCATCGTAATCTTATCAATAGTTTGTGTGATTTTTACCAAAGGGATTAAACTTCTGTAGAAGACGTGGATCTGAACACCGAAGGATTACCACAGTGGCAGACGATCCTTTCCTGCTGCTATGTGCAAGACGCCGTATTCATTAACAGCACGGCAACTGGAGTTTCATCTTTCTGCTGCTGTAGGACGGCTCATATCCCGCCAAACTGTGTCGCGTCTATTGCACGAAGGTGGACTGACGACCTGTGGTTTGTATTGCTTTGTCCCAATCGCAGGTCAGAGAGCGGTTGAATTGAACCCGTGAATATCACAGTTGAACTAAGCATCCAGAATTCCCGAAGGTAAATAAATGGCGACTGCCGAAGATACTCTCAACGATACAACGATGCCGAAGACATCGTTGAAAGAGACCATTGCAGAAGAGGAGGTTTACATGTATAGGCTAGGATAACAACGAGCAGCCATACCGACCTCTGAGTGATGCCTCATGGTTCCCTCACAGCCATCCGATATCACGACGAAATTCTACGCTCTCTTGTGTGTCCTTTTATCGTGCAGTGGGTATCGACGAGATAATTATGACGATGACACCCGTCCGCATAGAGCTCGAGTGGTGCGGCGTTATCTGGAGAGGGAAATGCTCCTACATTTGCGGTGGCCTGCTGATCAGCTTACCTATATCCTATAGAGCATACATGGGACATGTCGGGACGACGGATAGTAGGTCGCAATGGGCCATCAGGCACCGTACACAAGCTCTGCTATGCATTACTACAGAAATGGCTGCTACTGCCAAAACAAGCGATCAACGACACTATTGCCAGCTTGCCTTGCCGTTGTCAGGCTTGCTTTAAACCTAGAGGGTATCATATGATTTATTAGCGTGATGTTCCCATTGCAGAGTCTTCCGGCGCATTTGGTCTTTCGCTATGTGATGGTTGTAATACATGTGTTTTTGTATGTCTTTCCTTTATTGTTTGCTATACAGTCTAGTAATACTACACCAAACTCTTGTGTCAACTTCACGCATATACATTAAATATTAGCTTTAGTTCTATTCTGTGTTTTGCCTTTGCTGATTATTTTTTAGTACGAATCTATAACGAACTAGCTAAAAGCAGTAGATCGCGTACAACTTCATTCCCAAAAATATTATTAAGCAAAAAACAGATATACCAAGCAAATAAAATTTGGTAAAAATTTAAACACGTTCCTTCACATCATATATCTGAAACACTAAACATACTTGTCTATAGAAAGATAACACAAACTAACGAAAATGAATATATTGTAAAATTATTTGCGTGCCTTTTTTCATTTGGGAAGTAGGGATAATAATTATGAATTTTTAGTAGTTACTTTGTTTATGTTGTTATAAGCAAACAAACAAAAATCAGTTCTCTATGTATTTACAAAGAATTGTTTTAACTAATAAGTTATTTCATTTGATTTATAATTTAAAATAAGAAACAGTACATGCATTAGAGCAAATATTTAGATATGTGTTTTTAGTTATTATTCTTCGCAGGAACTTTTAGGCATTTACTTTTGCAGCCTTGCATTAACTTGCCTAAGCTCATAAGGATTTGATAAAAATTTGATTCACGCATTTTTGAAAATTGCTTTTATGCTTATGTTTTGCTCGGTGCTTTTGCTTTTTTCAGCTTTTTCTTTCGAGCGCGAAATGGATTATTAAGTAAAAGTGAGATTAGAAAGTTGGGACAATGTCCAAGCCATGGATTTCAATTTTATGAATTCAAAATATGACGAATCATGCAGAATGAAACATGACGACAAGCTTAGAATGCTGGAGAAATCACCTTTACAAGGGCTTAAGGCAGATCATGGGAAGTAGAAATATTGTTGCAGAATTGTCTGCTAATGTCTGCCATCAATAATAACTCAGACATACAAGGCTTTATACGAAAATAAATTATAGACCTCACATTAACCAAAACCTTCCAGCGGCCAGGCGGTCCGAGTTTTGAACACTAATTCTTTGGCCCGTGTTGGAATTCCGGCGAATTAGCTGCTGCGTGAGAGTTTTCATGGTTTTCCCTATTTGTAACTACATACGAAGCATTTTCCTTTCAATCGACATTTACGAAAAGATCCTTTCCTTAAGGCAGGTGGCCCTCATGAGCTTTGCCTCAACTAAGCAATTTATTCCAGTCTAATCCCAGAATTCGAAGTAACTCTCTTCTCATATACACACATACATGTACATGCTCATAATACTCGAAAATATAATTTTTCTATGGCCCTATACACACATACAGATATATGTACTATATGCTCAATGTGCCCAGAAACATGTTATTTCTGTTTTAGTAAGTTTCTATTTAAACTGAGAAAAGCAAAAGTACGAGATAAAATATTCTTCTGTTCCTCCTTATGGAAATTATTTATAGAATTGACTGTGCCCAAAACTTCAACAACACTTAATCTTGGACCTATCATTCATAACCTATCATTCTTTAACCTATCATTCTTAATCAACCTATCATTCTTTATATATTGATGAACCGATCATTTATTATATCATAGATTCATATATAGAATCTGTACCTGACAGCACGTTGAGTTACTGTTAATTCGTCTGCAATTTTTACATTTTTCATGAACATACCTGGGTCAGCATTTTATAACAAGAAGCAAACAAGACATTCGACTTTCTGCCTTACTTATTCGAGGTCTTCCCTTTAGTAGCATATTTTCAGTTTCTCAAGAGAAAAAGCAAAAAATGTGAAGGTGCATACCGATCGAGCAGCATCTCTCGAATACTTGGTATGCTCAAAGCTACTCCCTTTAAAATTTTTGAGGGTGCTTTAAGGCGTATATATATCGAAAGGCTTGAAATACAAATTTTTCAATCTTTTGTTGCATGCCGCAGCTCAATTCGAATGAAAAGCAAAAATGTTTCAGGTGCTAAGTAAATATTACGCAAACAAATGCATATTTAGTTTATGGAAAGGAAGAAAATTTTTGCTTCTTGAAAACGGAAGATCTTGTATTGGCTTTTGTCGAAATGTACAGAGTTTTATATTAGTCAATTTAAAATTGAAGTTCATTTACTTGTTGAGTTTAAATTCATAGGCTTCTCTTCCATATGCTTCAAATGATTAATTTAAAATTTGGTTATACGTTAATTTAAATTTTATTTCAACACCGTTCTGTCATATTAAATTAAGTAAAAATATTTTAATCAAGTATTAACCTCTTTTAACTCAACTTTTGGTCTTCCAAATTTAGATTTTACACCGTTTCTGGTGTAAATCTAAAAGACCAAAAGTAAATCTAATGCATGTATTATTTAGAAATAGTCATTCTTTTGACTTGAGAATAGTCAAATTTTATATCTCTCTTGCAAGCCTCAATAAAATGTTTTTAGTAAGTAATATTTTGTAATTAAGTAATAATTTATTTTCTTGATTTAATCCAAGGTGAGAATCGCTCAAACAATCGATAAGTATTTTATTATTGTACCCCTAACCACCAGCCATTTGTTCATTTAGCATTTGCCAGGGAAGACGAAGGCTATTTATCATACCAGTATCTCATCACCAAAAAAATTAGCTAAAGCATCCCACAAGGTCGTATTCTTACATTCCATCCCTTGCGGATTGAATACGATGAAGACCAGTATTACAGATAGGTGAAACAAATAACCAAACCTTGCTGGGAGTCATACCGACAGTTGTGACAACCAGTCATCACTAACCAACATATCGACTGGGACGGTAAAGGTATTTTAGCAAGTAAATGCTTTTTTAAACAACAACATCTTTTTTGATGTCAAGTGACTAAAAATTAAGTACCTGTACAAGTACTTTATTCTGATATATTGACATGTAATAAGCGTATATCTGAATAATAAGTCGATAAGATATTCAACAACTTCTTAAGTGAAATAAAATAATTTCAAAAAATTCTATATTAAAAGGTTTCGGGATTACAAAACTATGGAAGGAATTGAATCATTTCTGCAGCGAATGATCTGATGCATGGTTAACACTAATATTTATTTTTGTTTATAATGTAAGTAAAACGCAGAGAGATAAGATTACAACAAAATATTCAAACACAATTATGTCGCCTCTTTTAGCATATAAGTGTATGATAGAGATAAAAATATTTCCTCCAGATTGATAATATTTGAACAGGCCCCACTTGTCTTATACCATCACAAAATTCGAAATCATTCGGCGGAAGCATATTTTCCATGGCAGAAATGCATAAAATAATCGACACTCCTATTTACTTTCGCTGTTATAATCCATAATATAAGAACAGGGTGATGATACTAGGGTTGTTCGTGTGGTGGTGGGGATCTCACAGCAGGGGGACAGTCATAAAAATCGATGTACTTACTCTGGCGGAGAAAGTTGAGATGCGCATAGAGCACTTCTCCGTTATAAGGATTGGTCAAGCGGCTGAAATCCTCTCGGGTCAGCTGACATAGCTCTCGGCCAATGACGTTGAATCTAGCAGCATCCACCTCGTGTAGGTTATATTCTTTTACTGCCCATTCTAGCCATTGCTTCACGTGATCTGGATTCCAGAGCACTGGATCTGAAAAAACGTAATCTGATTTTAATATTTTCCTTATAGGCAGAAAACACCGAAGTACTTTTGTTGTTGTTATAGCTTATGAAGTTTAATACTAAACAGTTTTTACATATTTGCTGAACAGAAACCATAAATCATAAGGAAAGCATTTCATCTAAAGCAGGCAGCCCTTGAATACTTTTCAGTAATAAATTTCCTATAAACCGGTGAAACTTTTATATTCAAACTTCATCTATACTACTGTCATTTGTCATTTAAACTTAAAATATTTCCCTTCTGAATCTTACTTTAATATAATTATAGAAAACCGCGCTTTTTATTCCATAAGAATACAATTATCATTTTTATTTAAACAAAAATTGTAGCTCATATTGAAATATAGCTCTCATTCGGATAAAATTAAAGCAAAAAACATGCAAGAAAATGAAAAACATCGAACATTCGTTGTTTGCAATAAGGTTTCTTTTATGATGTCAATATTCTACTTTTCTTATGCGATGACGAAGCTTTGCGGATAACTTGAATTCATCGCTGGGAGTCCGAAAAAGAGAGGTACTTCCTTGGTTGAACATATTTAATCAAATTATCAAGTTTCTTCTCTTTAAACTTTTCAAGTAATGTTGAATTTCTTAACGACTATGCATCCTTTCATATTCTGCTCTTTATTTCAATTTTATAATGTGGATTCAGAGCGTACTTTACCCTAGGCACTCCGAAACACTTAATCCTTGGATTGTTAACAAAGCTTGATGAACTTTTATTTTTACTCGTCAATAAGGAGGATTTACCACAATCCAGCAGATCACTGATGTAAAGTTATTTCTCCATTTCACATTTCTCCGTATAAATCCTCCAAAACTTTTGCTATTGTTGTAAAAAACGTAATGGCAAGTCTTCTTGTATATAAATTCTGCTCTGCATTATATCACAAGAAATGTTTCCGTGCACTTTAAAAATATTCTATCTAAAATGGGATTCAAATAAATAAACGCAAAGGGGAAAAAAATACATCTTAAATAGAAAAAATTGAGAGAAAGCATTCTATTTTGTGGTTTTACAAAAAACAAAAAAAACAAAAAAAAAAAAAAAAAAAAAAAAAAAAAAAAAACCTTAATTTGTTTTATAACATTCACTAAGTTATATGCTACAAAGAATGTAAATAATTAGAAGCAAACTTGAAATTTCTCTTGCATGTCTGATTTTCTAATTTTACAAGTGCAATAAAATATGCAAACAAATAAAAATAAAAATAACTATTTTAATGAATTTTACTGTATATTTACTGTTCCTAAAAATATTAAATCTATTTATTGGAATGAAGTCTCGAAAATGTTTAAATTTTTCTTTCGAAGAGTAATTTTTTTCTTTCTGAATAAACTTGGTAAATTAAGTTACCAAATTTACCACGGTAGTAAAATTTTTAAACTACATTAAATAACAAAAAGTTGAGCTAGTGATTTGAGATTTGGATGTAGCTGAAAGCAAGAGAATTGGCAATATTACTTAGGAAATTACAAGTCTAATATTTACTGTGGTGCGAGAATCCTATTGTGTTATTTCTATTGATATAGTAAGTTTGCTGAGTTTAAAATTAAGATTCTTGTTATATGCAATTAAATCGATTTAGACAAATAAAGCCAGTAGCAACATTTAGCATTGTACTTGCATAAAAAATTCCAGTTGAATGTAAGAGACGAGGCAACATACTTCAGAATATTGCTAGTCTAATATTTATTGTGATAACAAAATCCTGCTATATTATTTTCATTTAAAGGATTACCTTGTTTAAAGCTATTAAAATTCTATTTTCGTACAACTAAACTTATGCACATAAAAAAGCCACTGTTAATACTAGACACTTTACATACATATAAAAGTCCGAAAATTAGTTTGAAGAGTTTATTAATTTAGGAACGCCGACAAATCAAATCTTTTTTGCTTACATGCACCTCTTAAAAATAAATCATTGATTTATTTGTGGCACTTAATATCCCTCTTTAAGAGCAACGAAAAAAAAATTGTCCTACACCCTGCATTCAATCAGGATTCTATGAAATGTTCTCTTTAAGTACCACAATAGAAACTCTCTCATAGAGTTCCAGGAAATCGGGACACGTGAGAAGTGGCGTCACTTCCGGGAAAGACAAAAGTCAAACGTTCGCCATCTACCGGTGGGGAAAAGAATCAAAGAATGAGCTAAGATGGGGGAAAAAATCAGGATAGGGAAAAGGGTGGGATCAGTACTCGTTGGGGCAGAAGAATTGCTGTTGGGGTGGCAGCATTGTGCCCAGGCAGAGGGGCAGAAGAAGGGTCCTCCTTTTTCCCTAATTGTCATTCGGCTCAATTTCTCCACGATCCGCTTCGGCGGTCTGATATTATGGTGGCCACGTGCGAGATGCGGGACGTATGTCTTCCTGTGTTGATGCTCGCTTATGAACTGCTTATTCGAAGCTGCAATAGAATTTGGAGTTGAAGGCTTTAGCTTTAGAGGAAGTGTGTAAGGATTAAATCTGAAATGTTACAAAGATTTCAAAAATAAATAGGGAAAGCAGGATTTATTTATTTTTCTCTACTTGTCTTTTAACATCATGTATCTCAAAATCAGAATTCTAAGAAGGATAGATATTTTAATGTATTGACAGGTTTTATTTGTAGAAGACAGCGCAATGAATGTTAACTACTTTGACCAGGATAGCAAGATTTATTAATAATAAGAAGAGAATTGTTGCTTAAAATAGCATTACAGACATAAAAGATATTTTTTCGTATGTATAACTTTGCGAAATATTTTATATGAATACATTATATCTTTGCGAAATTCTTCAAAATTCCATTTATATTTAGCAACGAATCAATTTACTGAATTCATGCAAAATTTGTATAAAATCTCAGCCCCCTAAAAAGGTGAATAAATAAAGCACTTTTCAGAATAACCTCTTCGTCGTCCGTAACGCGTACGCGTTACGGACGACGAAGGGAAATTTCTGCAGGGCGTCAGAAATGCGCTTCAAGCGTTCTTATACATTTTAAAACTTTTAAACGTTTCAAACGCTTTCTAAATGTTTACTTGTTTGAATTTTTATTTTTGTTTGTTCTAATACCTAATAGAAGGCAGTACTAATCAGGCATTCTATTTCTAATTGAATTCCCTCCCCGGTTTTATGAATATTCGCGCCATTTACATAAGATACAAGACAGCGAGAGATCTTCAACGTCTACTCAACAGAAAAAGAGAAAAAATGAGGTTGTGAATTGGAAAGACGAGAAGGATATACGTTTGATGAGTATGGTCCATAATAACTCTATGACTGATGTTGAAACACGGAAAAGAACTGTAAAAAAAAAACAATAATCAGAAGCGTAGCTAGGATTTTCAGCGCCCGGGGAGAACTGAAGAATTTCCACCCCTTTCTGTGTGACAAGCAATGGAAAACATTTCATTTTAAAATTTCTTAACATCAATTTTGCGCCCCCTGGATGCTGGACCCAGGGACAGATGCCCCCCTTTCCCTCGTCTACGTCACTGCCAATAATTGTAAAAGATTATAACAACAAAATGGGAGGAGTGGACCGTCTGGATCAGATGTTATCAAATTAATCCTTGCTGTTAGAAATAAGCAGAGATACTATTACTTTTCCATTATGCTTTATTTCCTTATAATTTTATTAATATTAATTTACATCCATCCACTACGAAAGTTATGTATGTACAGAGAAAACAACATTACACGCTGCGAAAAACAAAGGGCCGCTGAGGAGAAATTTTCGCGGACAAGAGAGGACGGCGAAAGGTTTCCTTAGAAGAGAAAAATGAAAACTTAAATTTTGATCTGAAAATTTAAGATTGCAGTTTAAAAACTCGTAGAAAATACCATTAAGGAAAGGTAGAGTTTAATATTAATTAAGGTTTCAAAAGATTAAAATTTTTTTTTTATTATTTTTAATATAAAAAGATCGAATCTGATTTTCGGACACGCTGATTCCATTTAATGTCTGAAACAATTTATACTAAACAGTAATGATTGGCCTTTCTAATGTTCAAAATTTAGAAGATTTTCAAAGTATAATTCGTCGTCAGCTCATTCTTATGAGCAATCCTCGTAGGATTAACCTGGTTCATCATTTTCTGAAAAGGGAGGATTTGAATCACATGGCTTGGGCAGCTAGATCTCCAGACTTTGGTTTGGTTTATGTGATTACGGCAAAGCCTCAAGGGCTATCCTCCTAAGGGGCGGGTTGCCTTCGTGGAGGCCTTTGTAAAGAAAACCGGATCGTATACACGTTACACATAAGGAAAACTACGAAAACACCCATGCAGACAGCCCGTTCGAGGGATTAGAATCTCCGACCAAACTATCGGTGTTCAGTACCACTCCGGCGCTGGTGGGCAGATTTCCAGATTTTATCTCTATGAAACATATATGGGTAATCTTGGGAGAGTAATTATAAACTCATCCCTCCAGCAAACCAGTAAGACATGAAGACAGCGTTGTTGCGAGAGTGGGACCGACTGCCACTGCTTCATTTCCAGCATGAAGTCACGTTATGAGAGCTGTTAAACGGAATCATACTTGTTTTAGCTTTATTTTTTCTTCCATTTGGCAGACTTCGTGGATCTTCAATCGTCGATTTGCCTAACGTACGATCATGTTTGCGTGCATGACGTTGTACGCTATATTTTTTGTATCTATGGTATATTTTTTACATCATATCAAATTATGTTCACACAAAATTTAATTTAAATATCTCTCCATCATTTCTGGAAGTAATCCAGCAAATGTTAAAATCCTCTTGATTCTGAATACCGTTTAAGAATGAATTCTTTAGAAATTCAAAATGCAGCGCATAAAATCATATGTATAAAATGAGCTGTTAAAATTAGCAGTGCCAAAAAAAACCTTAATATAATATTACATCAGCATAATTTATTGTCACATGGATACTTATACAAGTTTATTTAATAATAAAGTTAATTAAAAACCTAATTATTCAAGACGTAGCTA